TGTCATGAGTCAAATAATAAACCACCAGAGGACTGAAGCATTCGTGAGATTCTGATGAAACAAAAGATAAAACTGAACTGTAAAAGTCTCTGGTTAGTTGCTTCTTAATGTGACTCTAACCTGTAAACATAGGTTCTCTCAGAGTGCATGCTTCAGTCATAGGACTGTCTGTGTAATGAGGTAATTTCAAATGAATCTAAAACATCTTTGATGAAGTTAAGCTCAGAATTGGTGCAGACTGCATTCCAGGCCATTTATGAACATTTGCAGCGCGAGGCAGAGCGCTGCTAGAGGTTATAGACCATACGCACATGTGGTGAGGTAACCTGAACCTATTTACATGGTTTTCTGTGCAACAAACACGTGCAAAATACAAAAAAGTGAGACAAAGTTTATCCATTACCTTTTTTTTTTTAAAATATTTTGCTTCTTCTTTTTTCAGTCAGCTAATTTACTTTCAAGTTTTATAGCCCAGCAAACGTTGGCATGAATAGATAAAGATAGTTTTATTCTAATTGTAAAGAAATACGACAGTTTTATGATAGTGAGGCAAATTCATTCAATCATCAGTCTTCCCAAACCGTGATCTGAGAACCTGAACGTCAGTCTGTCTTCCACGTCAACCTGGTCTTGTCAACAGAGCCCAGCAGGCCAGCTCTTAGCTCTTACCCTGGTTTATTTACCCAAAGGGAGCAGTCCTTTAGCTACCTCTACACTGCATGCTGCACAGCTCGTCAGCGACGGCCTCCGGAGCTGACCCTCAAACCTTGGTTTCCTGTTGGGCTGTTCAGGAGGCCGCCTGGCATGCTGAAGTGTGTCACTGCTGCCCGCTTTTGGGACGTGCAGATAAAAAAGCTCATAGCTGCAGTTTTAATTCTGTACTTGTTCATTGGGCAGTCATGATTACAAATTTTGCTGGGCGATAAATTGTCTCAGAAGTCCTTATGATAAATGAAATCGTTTGGACACACCTGGTGCAGAGGTTGTGAGAACACACAACAGCTACTGAGGCTGTAGAATCACTTCCCACCTCCTCTACCCAACCGGCACAATTTATTCTGTATGTGTCCCTCACGCTGCTTATGCTTATAACATGGCTACCTTCTCTGTCCAAGTTGGCTCAGTTTATTCTTTGTGTCGTCCTCTGGCTTCATAAAATAATTGCGGTCACCTGCACGCTGCTTACGAAGTTCAAGAAATTTACGTAGTGTAAAAAGCCTACTTTGTTGATCAAAATGAGAAATCTCATTTCTTTTACAGAAAGTCATGATAAACACAGGAGAATAGTAATAAAYGCAACGTGAAGAGTTTCAGTTTTTGTCTCTTCTGGAGACTGGGAGCAATAAAAAGCATGCAGCTTTTGGTATGTGTTGGATGTAGACTCTTCGTTGCATTTTGAATGCCCCATTATATTCTGGGCTTCCCATCCTGCGAATCGAATCGTTGTGAAACTCATCTTTTAAACGTTTGACMTTGTAAGACCTCTGTTTATGTGAAATGTCTGTCTAAGCCTTCAAATGGCTTCTTGTTTTTTTTTACACTTGTGAATCTTAAAGAAGAAAAGCATATACATTTGGTTTAACAACTGCACACCAGGACATGTTGAGCCCTCAAAAGGTTAGAGTGGATTTTGTGTTGTGAGGGAACAAACCAGATGGCCTCTCAGCAGAGAAGCACGGGTCCAAATGGGAAACGGTATGTGGAAGGATAATATTTTCTCTCTATGTTTACCTGACTGCTATATGGAGGTGTGGAGACCCTGGGGCTGCTGCTGGCACCACATAAGACAGAAAGAGCTTGATACTTGATGCTTGATGAACAGGTACAGTGATATTACTCAAGCCTTTTCAGTTAAAGCCGAGAACAGCTGTTCCCAGTGAGTTGCAACCAGTGGAGTGACAGTGTAAATCTGGCAGGGCTGACTGGCACCACACACTCGTATCTATTTCTGAGCCCGGGGCACAAGCAGGGTTGATTTGGCAGGAACACGAGAAACATATGTGTATTTGGTGGACATTGTATGCACTCTTCTCCGTGCTAAGCTTCTCGCCCCATCTGATCCTTCCAGGTAACCTGGACGTCAGTATCACACCACAAACAGCCATGACCCGGAGGAGAAAAGCTTTTCTCTCCCAAATAGAAAGCTGGGAAAGCATCCAAACCTCAAACAGATTCTTGTGACATTTCTCCCCCTCTGGCACTTTCTGCCAGATACTGAGCTAGATTCATGTGGGAGACTAAAACATAGGATCTTTAAGTGGTAACTGTGAGAAAAGAAGAAAATGAGCCGTGTGATTCAGTCACCTGGAYGTGACTCTACAAATATAACCGCAAAACCGTTCCTCCTGTTTGCCTTTCCKCCCCTCATGACTTTGGTAGCATGTTTTAAAGCTTCATCTGATCCACTAGCTCAAAAACACARGTCCAATGACCTGGTTGTATGGCACTAGCAGTTTTTTTTTTTATTTACAAATTTGATTTATTGTAAAAAAAATAATTTTTCATTTTATTTTTCTAATTTTTGAAGCATTTTCTCTTGTTTCCAATTTCAACTATTTATTTTCAACTATAGTTGACACCAAATACAATGTTTTTATTTAATTTCTGGTTGAATTGGAAGACTTTACATCTTTCCACAAACATGTAACAAAAAGAAAAATGTCACTAAAATGGACTACTTTACAGTTTAAACTGTATTTCTTTATAATTCCCTTTATAAATGTTGGGTTTCTGAATTAGTTTACTTGAYTGGACAATAAAAGGACAAAATAACATACTTGAGCACGTTTACCTCATCGTGTTGAGGTCTTTTGGTGAGTTATGTAGAAAATGCAACTTTTGTTGCCACCACTGGTGTTTAACAGTGTATTCTATTTAACAAGGAGGTCACCTATGTGCCGTCAGTATCATCCCACGTGTTTGTTACTACTTTGATTAAATTTTTGAAGCAAACACTCGGGCTGCGGATGTGTGAGGGTGGAACTGACAGCTGCTATCCTCAGTGTTGAAGCTGAGGCTGGGTACTTTTTAAAAATATACTTAATGATTGTTACTCAACTATTAAATTGTTTGTATGCTTGCAAGTTATAAGATGCATAAATTAGACTGTTGTTTACCTGGCTGCAGGCAGTTTAAAGACCGTACCTACCTTTATAAAACATATTATATCTTTTATTTGCTTCTTACATCAATTTATTATTATTTGAAATGGTTGATATTTGTCAATTTCTTCTACTCAAGGCAGTRCTAGCTGGGTTTAGTGTTTTTTATGATTCTCTGTGGGGGGAATAAACAAATTTATATCTTATTTTTGGTCACTCGAGGCGATCCAGCTGAAAATCTGTCAGCTACAATCACCTCACAAACAGTTGCWGCATTTCTAATTTTTAATTTGGGTAATTTTTAATCTAATTTAAAACAGCACTGGGCTAAAGTCTTGGGTCACACTTTGGTTTTATGTGTGGGGGGTTTTCTCACCATTTTAAAGTGGTTTTAAAAAGGTGGTGAATCCCTGGACCTATTATTGTTTTTTATTTTACCAGGAGAGAAAAACTCATTGAGATTAAATTCACATCAGATGTAAGA